TTTATCGACTGTGGTAGAATTACCGAGATAAAATGGCAAAGTTACCGGGAATTGATTACCAATAAAAGTGGTATTCTTACCTAAAAAAACAGTAAAAATACCGGTTTTTAGGTAAGCTCACCAGTCTGTCTTGGTAAAATTACCCATAATTGGTAAAAAAAAGTTAGGTGGTAAAGGTACCTACGGACCTTGGTAAAAACGCCGAGTATTTTTTTTCAGTGCAACAGGATCCTTCCATTTTCTTTTTGTCTATCTCTCCGCCTATACATTTCAATAAATAACCCGCTATTTGATCCCAAAAAGCGGAACAAATCCTAAACGGACAATATTTTCCCCAAGGGATGCGTTCTTGAGCGGGGGTGTCTTTCCGATGGTTAACATAGCACTTGAGCCCTTACGTTTCCAAGCACTTGATTTATCCGAGTTCTCATCGGGAGTCATTCATAGCTGGCCAAGTCATAATTCACGTTCCAGCGAGGCCGGGGCGGGGGGCGCCGAGAGGTAAAAAAAGACATTTCAATCGCGAGGAGAGGAATAACTCTCGGTCGGGCACTTGGTGCGTGGCGAGGTGTTAATAAATTGATAACGCGACCGGGGAACTGATTTCGGGAGGGGAGGCTGAGAGCAGGAAGAAAACACGAGTAACAAGATAAGAATCGGGGATCGGGAGGAAGACAGGGGAGCGGAGAGGGGGAGGGGGAGGACAGGAGTTGGAAGGGTCTGCAAACCGCGATAAATTGTGAGCGTGGCCTTTCAACCCCCTCATCGGCGCATGTGCAAATAGATCGAGTTTATCGAAAAAGAGCTAAGAACCTCCCAAAAAAGGGCTGATTTTCGCCCCTTTTTAAGTGTTCGATTCGACCATTGGATCAAGCCCCCCCCCCCCCCCCGTAACTCGAAAACGGTTCCTATACTCATCTTGAAATTTTTCCCCGAGTTTTCTGTTATTATATGCTTCCATTTAAACCTTGTTCCAATGGTCGAATGGTGGAATACCTAAAAAGGGGAGAAATTTTGGGAGGCTCTTTCTTCTTCTTTTTATTTTTTCTTAAAATAAAGCGTCCCTCTATTCTGCCGTGCTAATCAAGAACGCCGTATAAGCCTTTAGACGTTGCTAAATTTTCTTTGATTGAATACGAATTTTCAGGGAAATCCGTGAATATTTTCCCTTCAATTTTCCAGAGAATTTTGTTCGTAATCAGATCTGAATTATCTGAAACTTCGAGGGAGAATTTTCATAACTTCCTGAAAACAAACATTCATTGCAGGAAAATTGGTAACTCTCAAATGCTCATACGGTGTTTTTCCTTTCAGCTTTGTAAAAATTACTCTATTCTTTCTCATGAAGATTTTACGCATCGAAGTCATAATTTGAACGTCAACTGCAGGAGGGCATTTTTTTTTTTTTTTTTTTTTTTTTTTTTTTTTTTTTTTTTTTTTTTTGTTACGGACATTTCATTTTAGCATTTGAAAGTGTCATTAAGGGTTGATTGGGCAGAGTTAAAAAATTTTAAAAAATCCTTATACCCATGCAAGGAGGATCGTCTCCTTCCAATCAAAGTTTCATTAAATAAAATAAACTTCAGAATAAGCTGCATTTAAAAATTGAGCGGCATGGGCCTTTCACTTTTTGGACATGCACTTTGAGGAACTATTTTTAAAATTCAATAATCTCATTAAATAGTCGTAATATAATGTCAATTGTATTGATGGATTGACTTTCACGCGGAGTTGGTATAATTGATGTCCAGGAATAAATTTTTAAGCGATTATAAAATTTTATTGGCGTTCTTTGTCGGCACGGGTATTACATCGTCCGTTTCGTTCTAAGACTTCTTTCTCACGAAAGTAATTTTTTATTCAAAAATAATAATTTCCAAAAGTCTTTCTTGGTTTTCAACCTCAATTTCCAATCCATAATATTAAAAAAAAGAAAGATTTAGTTTACTATAAACGTAAGTTGTCGACGATACAAATTGCCTCTTTCATCCCGAGTTCCCTTTTATTTAAAAAAAAAACCCAAAGACTGCTTCGTTTGTTTTCCTTTGACTAAAAAACCTTATTTTGCTATTAAAATCATTACTAATTCCAACACTAATATTTAGTGACTTGGTATCCTTCAGAGACCATGATGAAAAAAGGTCTCTTTCTGATATTACAGTTTTTTTGTCAATGTTATAAAAATTTTATTCTAAATATATCTTGTGATGGATCTTTCTGCGAATTCCCGAGTTGTTCCAATCGTCAGATTTAATACTTTCTTTAGATTGGTTTGGAGGTGGAAGGGAAGCATTGTGCTCGCAGTTTGACAGTGCTACACGCAACGTCATATTTTGCAGCCATGAGATGTCAGACGAAATGCAGAAACACGAGTTGATTCGAGCAATCTTCTTTTCATACATCGTTCTCCTCCGGAATTGAGAAAATTGTCGAGCGAAATTATCCATCGATCCAGGGCAAAGTGTTTCACCCGGTCTACACGGAAATTTTTTCGGTCTACAATGAGGTTGACGATGAAATGATAAAAAACGATAATTGTCTTAGAATGCGTCAGTTGACTTTAAACGGCTCACAGTGGATCTAGTCAATAGGAAAGGTCGGACAAAATTTGGAAACTTTAAAAGTTTATAAAAAATTTGAGATTTTAAAAGTGGTTCCATTGGTTAGGCTGTTACCTCGTAAAATTTTCTTCTGAAGGCACCCCTCAATATTTAAAATGTGACGAAATGAACATCAAAATTTGGAGTTCTAGTCAAAAATTTAATGTCCTACCTCTCCTATTGACTCGATCCACTTTGCGGCTTTCGCCTCAATTAAAGCGTCTAGCAGTAAAGTAGTTTTTATTTTTTCGTATGCTGAGGAAAAACGCCGTATGATCCATCAGACGTATTCAAATTTCCTTTGATAAAATTTGGATCATCAGGGAAATCTGTGAATGTTTTTCCTTGGATTTTTCAGAGAATTTTATCCGCGATCAGATGTAATTTATCTGAAAATTTCAATCGAAAATATTCATAACTCTCCCCCCCCCCCAAAAAAAAAAAATTTATCAGAAAAATTTGGAAACTCTCGAATGTTCATACTGCGTTTTTCCTGAGCACGCGGCAGGGTACTCCTATTCTTAGAGTTTTGGAGTTGGGTTGTTTAACACACTGTGAGGTGGACCGCGTTTAACAGAAATAAACTAAGACACATCTGCAGCTATCGCCAACTGGGCAATTTATTTCTTACGAGAGAACGCCGGGGAGGATTCCTTTGAAAATTTCAAGGAATTTGCTTCGCACTACGGAAAAAATTCACTAAAAGCACAAAAATCCGCAGAGCCGTTCTCATTTATGAAATTAAATTGCCCAATTGAATTTGGCAATAGCTGATGTGGCTTGGTTCCTCTCTGTTAAACGCGGTCTATTTGGTGATGCAATTCGCTTTAGTTAGGTTCCAACCTGAGAATACAACTATTTGAACTTCGGTGTGTTGCAGAGTATCATACGCATTTGAAGGGGTTTTATATTGGTCCATTTAACGCAGTCCAAGTATGCGCGAGAATGCAAAAAATCCTTGAATTTAAAGGATATGCAATTCGAAGATGAAGAAGACGCAGATTACATGGCGCGGAAGTTGGTCGAAGAATATCGGAAATGGGGCATGGGTGTTGGTGTGTCCAAGACAGAGAAGCTGGTCGTGGGAGCAGGGCATCAACGGCAAGGCATAGAGCTTGAGGATGGACGGCGCATCGAAGAGTGTGACGAGTATAAGTATATCGGTGTCTGGCTAGATCAGGATGGAAGGATGGATAGAGCAATTAAGGACGGATCATCCAGGGCAGGAGAGCCATCGCGATGCTGAACGGGGTGCTCTGGGATCAGAGCATTTCAAAGGCAAACAAGCACCGGATATATGACGCCATAGTTAAAAGTATCGTGCTCTATGGTAGTGAAAGGTGGCATTTGACGAAAAGAACACTAGAAATGTTGAGGGCAACTGATATGATTTTTTGGCAGCGATCTGCCGGCATTTCGAGACGGAATCGTGTCCGTAATGAGAGAATTCACCAGGTGATAAAGGTTGGAAAAGATATCGTGCACGACGTCATGTCCAGGCAGTTATGCTAGTATGGACATGTGCAAAGAATGTCGGAGGAGAGGTTGCCCAAACAAGTTTTGGATTGGGTACCACCTGGTAGGAGGCGACGAGGACGTCCCGTAAAGGGTTGGCGGCAGGCCGTTGACGAAGCGATGTTGCGGTGTCAGTTGCCCGACACTGAAAAAAAATGGTACGCTGTTTAAGCACCTACGATGTCAAAAATGTGTCTGGTGATCCTAAGATGCTGCCTTGATTAACCATGCGATTAAATTTGCATTCGCAGGATGTAAAGTTAATTGCGGGGGCAGTAAAGGCAGGATCTTGGGATCACCAGACACATCATTGACTTCCTAGATGCTAAAACAGCATACTATTTTTTTCAGTGGATAACCTCTGGGAAGACAGGCATATGTGGCGTTTGGGTGTCGTAGAACGCCAGAGTGCGTTGTAAAGCGACTTTTATTTATACATGCAATTTAAACTACCGGGTAGTTCAAATTGTTATATTGAATGTTTGGTATCTTAAAATTAGCTCTGCCTCTAAAGGCCAGTGAATGAAGCATCGCGAGAATTAAAAAAATCATTCAATAAATGGAACATACAATTTTAACCACTTGGTTGAATCTTTAAATCACATGTTTGATATCTTACAATTATCAGCTCAGTCTTCCTTGGTGTCAGACAAAGAGGGTTTGGAATCAATGGCAGTTGATTCAAGGAGAGAATATGCTAAGACCTCAGTCTATATCCAATTATATTATTGTAGGTAAGTAATCCTTCATAGAAAAATCGTGTAACGATCAAGTTCATTATTAGGTAATACATTACAGATTGTGAACGATCAAAATCTTGAACAATTTGATCTATCAGGCAAAGTTATTTACGCTACACGGCAAACATTTTGGAATGAATATTACCTCGTTAAGATGATGTAGATGTTCCAGATCCATTTCAGCTCGGCGACATTAAGATTTCGTGCATGTTTTGTCAAAGCCAGAGTCTGAAACAGAAAAAAGAAAAATAATTTTTTCATTGAACCTCCACAAAACCTTCTTAAGAAACATGAAATTAGACCCAAAGGGAAGCGATCAAAGGTAACATGCGTTTTCACCCAGCTTCGGGTGACGTAATGTGCCGAACAAATTCACCAAACCTCGGTTTGTTTAAAAAAACGAAATACTTAACACGTTGTTAATACATATAAAAAAGAAAGATGTTGTTAATCAAATCGTTTCCTCGTCGTTACTATCTTTAATATCGACGGTGAAACTACCAAACCACGTATCTCGTTTGCGGTGTTTAAAAATCTACGCTCACATTTTATTTTTTTGAAGTAGACCAAATCAATATCATTCCTTGAAATTTTCACGGAATTTTCTCCGCACAAAGAGGAAAAATCACAGAAATTTTCAAGACTGGATGTTATGTAGTTTTTTATTTAAAAAACAAAGTATGACAGGAAGTCTGCGACGTCGCAAACCGAGATACGTGGTTTGGTAGTTTCACCGTCGATATGCGGGTTCTTGGTATAAACTTTGAATATCTAGGGTTATTTTTTTGGTCCTAGTATTAATTACTGTGTTCTTATTATTAATTTCACTTCCTGTTCTTGCAGGAACTACCACTATGTTATTAATGGATAGAAACTTTAATAGATCTTTTTATGACCCTTTGGGAGGGGGTGATCCTATTTCATACCAGCACTTATTTTGGTTTTTTCGTCATTCAGAAGTTTGTGTTCTTATTTTACCAGGCTTTGGCATTGTGTCTCATTTAATTATTAGTGAAGCTGGAAAACTTGAAGTGTTAGGAAGGTTAGGTATAATTATACCAAAAACATAGTAGGTAAGTCAACAGTCCTCCTCGTAGAAGGAGTCCTCGGAGTCCCAAAAGGAAAAGATTCCACCACTGCTAACACGTCTTTGGAAGATCTTTCTTTGTCTGTATTCCCAGGAGTGAGGAAACTTTGAGGCAGACTGAGATGGCAAGTGATTGATCCTCCGAGGAACTTTCTACCCTCCCGTATGAGATCCGTCCATAGAACACCGAGTAATCGAGCCAATATTATAGTCGATTTTCACTGAGAGCGCACTGGACTACACTTTGCACTTAGGAACTACTATTTCTGTCACACCTACAAAAAAAGCCAATCTGCATGGTAAAACCGATGGCACATACGTTGTTTTTAAAATGAGCGAGGAATAGTAGTACCTAATTACAAAATGTAGCCTTATTCTTTATGGGTGATGTGATTTTCCTTCGACAGGGCAGTGCACGACCGTTCTATGTAAAAATGCCGTAAGAGCATTCGAATGTTGCCAAATTTCCGCTCAAAAAATATTTATTTTTGAAGTTAGTGATGAATAGTTTTCCTTCAAAGTTTCAGACTTTTTTTTTTATCAAATTACAAGCGGAATTTTCCAAAAATCGGAAAAGAAATTATCACAAATATTTCTGAAAATTCTTGATTTATGGAGGGAAATTTGGCAATGGCAACGCCTTATGGCTCATACGGCGTTCTTCCTTCGTGGGGCAGTGTATAGGGCGAGTATATTTCTGACTTTTAGTTTTTATCCCTCTTTTCAGCAGCATGACATTTTATGCAATATACTCTGCCTTGCTATGGAAAAAAGCCAAGCGAGCTGTAAATATTTTCCCCTCAATCTTATTTGAATTAAACTGTAAATGAAATTCTGCGAAAAGTTCGAGGGAAATTATTTACAAGCTTTCAAGAAAATCCGTTTTTCATCAGGGGAGGTTTAAAGAAAACCAAAAGTTCATGTGGCACTCCTCCTCCACATGGTGCTTCTTGGAAAACCGCCCCGCTCGAAACGAATGGATAAGAAATCCAAGCTATGTAATAGTAAACGCAAAAGTCGCAGGAAATGAAGGCTTATGAGAATCTCATCGTGAAATATTTCGACTCCCGCACAACTAGCGCTTCACAGAATCAGGTGACAGTATTGCCGAATACCGACCCTCATGATGGGGGCACTGTAGCGAATTTTTCCCCTCATCACAAAAAAAAAAAAAAAAAAAAAAAAAAAAAGTATTGCCGAATATCAGCTAAAATGAGTCTTCTTCAAATTTACGTCTACGATAAATGGACGTATTTAAACAAAAGTTGTAGCTTGACATAAGGAGTTTGAAAAAAGATACGAGAAGTAGTTTCAATTCTTCAAATTTCAATCTTCTGAGATAGTCATGTTGATCATCAAGTCATTAAATTAGAATCTTGGAGCTCATTTACGTTCCTTCGACCGGAAAACGACAACAATGGGAGAAAAAGTCTCTTGGCTCTAGAGTCTTGACTCTCAAAAATTCGACAAGAAAACATACTCTTCATTCAATCGGATTTTTGCGTGAATCAAAAAGAAATCCGCTTCGATTAAGAGGCTTGGCTCTCAATTCAAGCAAAAATCCGATTGATCCAAAGTATTTTTTCTTGTCAAATCTTTTAAGAGTCTGGACTCTACGTCCAAGTGACTTTTTTCCCAGTGAATATTCAAGTCAATTTTGCGGCCTTAGAATAGAATTTCATTTTTTTTCTTTTTTCGAAAGGAGTTAATGTGACAAGAAATCGTCGTCTCTGAAGTAAGGACGTATCTCAATTTTCACGTGAGTGCTGTTCTCTGTATACTCGCATGTTTTTCAGCGGACGGATTATTAAACTTGATAGACAAAGCGATAGACGAAGAAGATATAGGAAATATAGAGCGAGACTACTGGTTCAAACGGGTGATTACTATAGTATAGACTAAGGGAGAACATGACAGACCAACTATAGGGTCTCTCGTGGGTTGCCGTTAGCTAGTCTATTATCTTTCTCCTTTGCCCATTGCAACCACACCGATAGGATCCATCCACATAGCTTTTTTCTGCTTTGTCTAAAGCTTTGTCTAGCAATTTCAATAATCAGCCCGCAGCTAGGGGTCTTGTGAGAATAAAGATACGCCCAAACGTCAAACGTCACACACCAAGATACCAGTGGCGTGGCATGCTTTGCGATCTATCGATACTTCCCCATTTGTAGCTGTGGCGAAAATCGATTCTCAAAGTGTTCGCTGCGAACACCCTGCTTATCGATACTTTTCCATAGGTTCAAATGGCCGAACAATCGATTAATCGCAAATCACGCCACGCCACTGCAAGATACGCGGTTTTAGTTTCATCACCGAATCGATGAACGTTGAAAACTCACCGAAGCGGTAGAAGAACATCCCGCGATCGGACGGGATAGGAGAACGATCGGCGCACAGTGGATCGAGTCAATTAGAGAGGTCGGACATGAAATTCTTGACTAAAACTGCAACTTTCGATGTTTATTCCGTCACATTTTAAATCTCAAGGGTTGCTTCTAGATGAAAATTTCAGGAGGTAACCAATAGTAGGAGCACAGTAACCTACGGGTGTGAAGTATGGCCGATGAAACTGCGGACCCGGGAGGTTTTAGAGGCAACAGAGATGGACTTCTGGCGTAGATCCGCTGGTATTTCCAGAAAGGATCGCGTCGGGAATGAGACGGTACGGGATATCATGGATGCCAAGCAGACCATCGTGCATGACATTATGACAAAACAACTCATCTGGTATGGTCATGTCCAGAGAATGGCAGGAGACAGGTTGCCGAAGAAGGTCCTTGACTGGGTTCCTCCTGGGAGAAGACGCAGAGGGCGCCCAATGAAAGGTTGGAGGGACGGGATTGAAGCAGAAATGTTGAGGTGCTCAATCCCCCAAGATTTGTGGTTTGAAAGAGAGCAGTGGAGGTTAGGAGTCGTAGAGCGCGAGGGAGTGCTGTAAAGCGACTTGTATGTATGTAACCAATGGAACCACTATCAGAACCTCAAAGTTTTGTATAAACAGAGTAATAAGCGGTTAAAGTTTACGAATTTTGTCCGACCTCTCTCATCGACTCGATCCGCTGTGCGCCGGGGGAGGAAAGGAAAAGACGAAAGTTTCGCTGGCTCGTCAAAAACAGAACTTGACTTCGCGTGAAAGTGGATCCGCGAAAAAAGGAGGGGAAAAAAGCTGATGATGTCGAGTGTAGTTTTTCCGGGATTGTTGTTTTTTCCCCGAGGAAGGAAAACAAAAGTGGTGAAAAGGCTGTTAGCTGACATGAATTTATACATCCGCGTGGGAGGGGCGGGGGCGGAGGGGTGCGGGGGGCGCGGCGAAACTTTGTTGCGCACTCGGAACTTTCCGCTAATGAATACAAAATTAGTTTGACATGAAAAGCTTATTGTGAGTTTAATACGGTGAAGAATGACAACAATAGTTATAGGCTTGGTTTCGGCCGATGCACGGGTGCACTTTTCAAAAGAAAATTGTTGCCACCCTACTTAGCGTGCGGTCTTTCATCGCATCGCTGACGCAAAAAGTTGCCGCTCCGTAGATTAAACTTCGCGCGCCCCGGGCACCGACAAAACGTTTCTCGTCACTCGCGTTTTTGAGATCTTCCGTCGGAAAATCTCTCTGTTCTTTGAATACTTATAATCAATAGGTCTTCTTCCGTTGAGTATTTACAATGACACAAAGCAGTAGCCTGAAACAAGTAGCATTCAATGACAAAAATGGGTAACCAAGGCTAAAATAAAAGTAATATACGGAGAAACAACTTCGTGCGTGGGACCCGAAGTTGAGGTCATATGGATCTCTGAAGTTTTCGGATCACGTATCTAAAAACTTGAGGTCCAGCTGCCGAAGTTCGGGTCAGACATCTGAAGTACCTCAATATATACCGAAGGGTTCGGATCACACATCTGAAGTACTCCGGTACATACCGAAGTGCCTCGATGTCTGACCCGAACTTCGGCAGCTGGACCTCTAGTTTTTAGATACGTGATCCGGAAACTTCAGAGATCCATATGACCTTAACTTCGGGTCCCACACACGAAGTTTTTTTCTCCATGTATAATAAGCGTAATGGTATTATCGTAGTGTTGATACCTTAAATTTATCGTTTCCAATCTTTCTACTATATTGCGTAGTGCTTTTCGACCC